TTTCTGGACAGGAGTCATTTTTGTACAGTAGATGACAAGAGAGTAATAAGATGCTGTTAATGCAAGCACGTGGTTAAGCCAATTGCAAGGAGGCCAGGATGCTCCTGTAGTAGGCTTTATATAAGGCATTGAGTTTATGTCATGGAAGTGGGCTACAGGAACAGGTAGGCATGTATATATGGGCTAGGCATTCAAACTGTCCAAAAATCAATCACCTCTATGAGACAGTGCAGATGTCAAGGCATATCGAATGGCATTCAATAGTTGTATTCATACAGCCAAATCTAAACCTAGGTCAGTAGCCACTTATAGACAGTTATATGGTTGGCCAAATGTAAGTGCTCACTTTGGTTCATGGATTTCACTAACTGGCTTAAACATCCAAATCCTGTAGGTGCTGCAACATACAGACACCTCAGCTTAGCAGTCATAACCTGTGGGATGAATAACACCAATTCATTTACAGACAGTATTGCATTGCACTGTTCCTTCAGAACATATTTGTCCCGAAGAAGATAATTTTCTCTCATGCTTCTAAACTGATCAGCTGTCTTTCAAGTAATATGACATTGACTGAATCTCCACTCACTGTGGAATGTCAGAATGGTTTTCATAAGGCAGAGCTTTAGAAATTTACAACAGCTTTGGCCATCCTCAACCCCCTTTATCAGCCATGACTGTTTGAGGATGAGATGAGCCAAGGCCTGGTCTCCAGAGATTGTATGTATCATGTACCCACTGATTTTAAGTGAAGAATAGCTCAGAGACATTGCCAGCATCAGCTTTCAGTGAGAGGTAACTATAGAATCATGGAACCACTAAGGTTAGAAAAGACCTCCAAGATCATCCAGTCCAACCGTCCACCTATTACTAATACTGCCCACTGACCATGTCCTTCAGTGCCACATCTCCATGGCTCTTGAACACCTCCCTGGGTGCTCACCACCTCCCTGGGCAGCCCATTCCTGGACCTGACACTCTGTTAGAGAAGTTTTTCCTAACGTCCAACTTCAACCTCCCCTGGTACAACTTGAGGCCATTCCCTCTTGTCCTATCCCATGTACCCAGTTTATACTAAACATGTTTAAATGATACAGTTCAGCAATGTCCACTCTAAAAATCCAAATCCCATTTTTGCAATGTCTTCGCTGACTCTGATCCCAGGATGGGATCATAAATACCCTAGTATGATGTGCCCATCAGTTGCTGACTCCAGTTCTTCCATTTGGATTTTTTTCTGGCAGTAATCATACTAAATGTTTTTCAAGCATGGGGCTTTCATTTTGCTTTCCTTTGTTTTGCTGTTTTTTTTTATTTAATTTTTTTAATTTTCTATTTTTTAGATACCTTCTGCTGTTTCTTTGCACTGCTCTGGAGGCTCAGGTGTGGGTGGATTATGCAGACTTGGGAATGCAACCTTGTGGAAGCTCATTGTTGGCAGAGGAGGCAAGCTGCCTTCATGAGGGACCTCTTGTAATTCGGAGTCCACACAATCAAGCTTTGAGGAAAAAAATGCTGACACTGTAGGAGTTCAAAATCTGTTCTTGGTGAGAAGTTTCAACCACCTCATCAATCTGTCTCTGTTACAATCCCAAGAGAAATGGCTGAAACTGCTGCTTTTAATCTTCCCAGCTGTTCATGGAATTTGCAAAGTGATTTAAAAAATAATATCCAAAGAGTTAAATTGTGTCAAAGATGCTAGGCAATTAAAGGAAGACATCTTTTCCCAGCTGATATGCTCAATGATCATAGAATCAAGGCTGGAAAAGATCTCTAATATCATCTAATCTCAACCCATCCCCACCATGCCCACTGATCACAACCCTCAATGCCACAAGTCATAGACTTCAGGATGTCTATCCATGTCTATCCAAAACCACCTGCCTGGCAGGTAGAGCTTTTTCCCAGTTGGATTTCTGATGAATGTTACCTTGTAGCATGCAAGTCCATGCCAAAACAGACAAGAAATCTCCCCCCCCCCAAGATCCCTGGGACCCCTCTGCTTTTGTAGCCCCAGCCAAGCATCTCTCAGATGCTGTTCCCCTCTTGATCTATTGCTTCTGCTCCCAGAGTGGGGAAAATCCCACAGCTCTCTTCATAACAACCCCCTTATTTGAGGAGATATTTATGGACCCCTGTGCTAAAACAGAGGTGTTAAAGCCAAACTCCTCTTTAGGTTGTGTGAAGACCTACAAAGAGAGAGAGCTAAGATGTGAGAGATGTGAGCAGTGTTTCATTCTCATTATGAGCAAGCCATGTCCTGCTTCCAACTTGCCAATATAAGACAGCAATAATTTACTGAAAGAACAACTTTTAGATCAGTCTGACATTCGGGAGAGGGCAAATCTGTGCTGTGAGCAGCAAGCAGTGCCTGAGCACAATGCTCAGTGGTCATTGTGCACGTTCAGCACAGCCCGTGCACCACAAGGCGGCAGTGCCTTCCATTGATGGCACAGATGGCCTTTGTGGCAACTGTCTTCACAGCCTTGGGGTGAAGCAGTACATCCCTAGCACATTCCTTATCATGCACACACCATCACCCATATCGAATCATTATCTCAGAAACTTTTGCACTCCTTGAGATTATCAGCATCATCACCAGGTTTTCCCAAGCACGCCCTTCTGTAAATTATGCAGTTAATGTTTTTTTTTATATATGTGCAGAATAACTTAATATAGCCCTCAATTCCAGCTTATGGCCTACACACCTTGTTCTAAAATCATAGAATCATAGGATGGTTCACTTTGGAAGGGATCTCTAAAGGCCATCTGGTCCCACTCCTTGCAGTGCACAGGGACACCCACAGCTCCATCAGGGCTCACAGATCATCCCCTGACTGTGGGTGTCTGCAGGGATGGGGCACCACCACCTCTCACTGCAACCTGTGCAGTGCCTCACTACCATTATTGTAAAAGACATCTTCTTTAAGTGCAATCCAAATCTGCCCTCTTAGTTTGAAACCATTTCTTCTTGCCCCATCACAACAGATTCTGCTACATGGCATGTCCCCTTCTTACTTACAGTGTTTGAAAATACAAGACATGGAAATGCTAAAAGCATAAAGAGCGATGCAGGAACTTTCTGTCCAAGGTCCAGGCAGATCCTGTAGCTTAAGTTGCTGGAGAACATCTGAGTTGTGTTGGTTCTCTGTGAGATGAGTTCCTTTTCCTGGATCCTTGGTCCAGCAGAGAATCTTGTAATAAAGAGAAGGGATATGTAGTGCATACAGCTGGTCTGAAAGACAAATACAGGTCATTCTGGGAGCTCAACTGGGAAGTGGGAATTGCTGTGTAACACAAGAGGGCTGGTATGTTCACCAAATAAACCACAAAGATGGGTGAAAGACAAAATAATGGGGGAAACTGTGCTGGAAGCAGAAATTTCCAAAACATCAAACCTCATGGCAGTTTTTAAGCATGAGTTTCATGTGAGCTTCTGTTTTTTGAGGAAATGTTCTCAGGTTAGTCAAAAGGAGAAGCATAATTCACTCCAATTTTGCTAATCCCAAAGGCAGAGGAAAGGAAATGGTGTGCCTGTTCCTTCATATGTCATACAACTCAATGCTGCTCAATGCAGATATTGCCTAGAGAGAACATTCATAATTAGTCAGATAGCTGAACATAAATTTATAGAAGTAGGCTACACAGAGTTGCGTCTTGATGATTGTGTCTTGGAAGGGGAGTACGACATTAACTGAAGCTTCATGATCAAGGTTCTATAACGTAAATATTCTCTTGGGTAAAGAGGTCATAATTATTTATACTCTTTGGCTTCAGACCTGTATAACCATAGAAAACACAACTGTAATACCCTGCGGTGGGAGGGTTAGAATTTGATGATCCTTGGAGTCCCTTCCAACCCAAGCCATTCTATGATTCTATGATTCTATGATTGATTCTATGATTCTATAATTGTTGCTGTTTTTTCTTTTTTTTTTTTTAAAGTCCCAAAGGAAACACAGAAACTGATACAAGACACAAACACAACAGTTTTAATTATCACTTACATTTTATAGATGTAAACCACACAACTGTGTTCAAATCACTATGCTACACAGTGTGCTTATCACGGGAGCAAGATTCACTCCTACAGACAAAACTAATAGCGTGATCAGAACAGACAAGGTAACACCTTGTGCAAAGCATGTGATTCATTGGGACAGGGGAGTTACATGCCTAAGCAATAAAGGAGGAGTCTGAATTATGTGTATAGAAACATTTGTCTCTCCTGTAGCCATCAGGCCAAAAATGAAGCAAAAAATCTGGAGTTTTCCACAGTCAAATATCTCCTAGCCAAAATAATCAACCAGGAGTTCAGCCAAAAAAACAAAAGGGGGCAAGAGCTCTACTTTTTTGAAGCTAAACTGATATTCCAGTTCATGGAAAATGTAGCCTGTACTTGAATGGCCAGAAGCACTGCTTTCAAGACTGGATGCAGGCACTTTTGGGAATGGTCCTACCTTGTAATAAACTACAGATATGTTCTGTATATCTTTTGTACAGCATTTTGGAGAGTTTGATGTAGAACCCAACTCAGTCCCACAGAAAGAGAAAGGCCACCCTGGAAGTGATGTAGTGATATTAGCACGGCGTTCATTTGACATGATTTATTAGACCATACTCTGCATCACTTCTGACCTCAAACACATTCTTCATCAAAGTGGTAATGAGCTGAGAAATGGTAGGCAGAAGTGAAATCAACAGAGCAATCACAGAATTAAGTTCATCCTCCAAAGGAGGACCCAGAAACTCAGAAAAACACAGTTTATCTGTGGATTTAATTGATGGATCCAGCTAACCTTCAAGGATATTGCAACATAAGGTTTATTGCAGCTACTCAAGGACCAGTGTCTTGTCACAGATACACAAGGCTTGTAAATTATTCTGAACTCAAGGTAGACTAGCTGGGATAAGGTTTGCTGTATGTTCTTCCTTTGTACACACATAATCTTCCTAATGTTCAGCTACTACAGCTTTTGTCATGGAAAAAAAAGATTTGGGGTCCTCTGGCCTGACTTAATCTCTCCATTGTACAGGCACAAAAGAAAAAAAAAAAAACAAACCAAAAACCAAACAATGGCAGTGGCTGGCAATAGTGTAATCTATAGCTCTCTCAAATAAAGATAAATTACAGAACTCCTAAAAACTGGAGATTTCAGGAAACACTGGACGGAAGTGTGGAAGTGTGATGGAAGTGCTGGACATGGAAGAAATGAATGTAGCTTCTTTGTTTTGGGTGTTAACCTATTGATGTCCAAGACCTATAAGTCTCTCATTTCACAACAGTGAAAAAAATAACGGGATTTTGTGTGTAGAGGGAGACTGGGAACAAGAGTTGTGATGCAACCAGGTGAGAAAAGCAACTCATATTCACGATATGAAATGTTCAGAAATCTGTGGATGCTATGGGAAGTTGTTGGAGTGGGTTGGAATGGATGGAACTGGTCCAGAGGAGACCAATTGGTCAGTGGGCTGGAGCACCTCTGATGTGAAGAAAGGCTGAGGGAGTTGGGCTTGTTTAGCCTGGACAAGAGAATGCTCTGGGAAGACCTCAGTGTGGCCTTCAGTACTTGAACGGAACGTATAAGAAGGAGGGGGACTGACTTTTGTTCACGACTTGATAGTGATAGGAAAAGGGCAAATGGCTTTAAACTAAAGGAGGAGAGAGTCAGCTGTTAGGAAGAAATTCTTAGAGAGCAGTGAGGCCCTGGCAGTGCTGCCCAGAGAGTGTCCCATCCATGGAGGTGCTCAAGGCCAGGTTGGATGGGGCCTTGGACAGCCTAATCTGGTGGCTTGCAATGACCTCATGGCAAGGGGATTGGAACTAGACGATATTTAAGGTCCAATCCAAGTTATTCTGTGACTGATTGAATCTTTGAAAGCCACGAAGGATCCAAACTGGCCATGCCTTAGTGCATTCATAGCAACTCTGCCTGCCAGATAAGTTCAGACAGAAGTTACACCATTCTGGTTGGCAGGTGTTTTCCTTTTTGGACTGATTTTTTCAAGCAGTGATAACTGAGTGACATAGTTGACTGGACTGTTTTCTTTGGACACAGTCCCATGTTTGTGTGTGAAGCTCAGGTATTCTTGATACCGCCATTTGCACAGCTGCTTCTTGAGTTCACTTTGAACCTACAGGGAAGGAATTTAAAAACAAATAATCAGAAAATAAAGACAGAGGGAGCAATGAAAATAAAATATACCAATATTTTATAGCACGGCTATAAGGCCTAGATGCACTCAAATCAATCAAGATTAAGCCTTCATGCAGTTTTAGAAGGACTGAAACTACATCCACGTTCACACTGAAAAATAAAGTTTCCAAAATTCAGAAGAATACAGGGGAGTTGCTATTGGCCATTGCTTATTTACTGGAAAATCGAAGGGAAATAAACTTGTGGGAGAAAATAAACTTGAAGAAAGTACAGTGTTACAGGCTTTCCACTGAGATCCTGTGATAACTATCAGAGGTAAAGCAGAGCAAATGTCTCTCGACAGGAAAGTCACCAACCATTTGTAAAGGGTCAGTGCTTCATAGCTGATTCAGCTGTCCTTCTTCCAGAATTATTTGAATACAATTAGAATCAAAAAAGCAGCTAAGGGAAAAAGAATTTTGGGTATTTCTGCTTTTGGGAACAGATCAAGGCACAGATCCATTATAGAATCAGAAAAAAAAAAAAAAAACACAAAAATAAGAGATATCCATTATTTTCAGAGGTTTTGATAATCTCATATACTTGCTACTCACCTCCGCATTTGAGAAGCAGTATAGAAGTGCAACAAAAAAGCCCTAGGACAGGAAGAATAGAGAAAAAAAATTAACATTGTGATTTGGAGCACGGACACAGGGAAAAATATCATCTTTTATTCAAAATTTGAGTAAGACAGCAACAGTATATATTTTTCTGTTGCTCCAATTTAGGTGACATGGCACTATTTACTGGGTTTTCTTATCTGGATTCAATATCTCAGCAGAATCCAGAATATTTATAATATTATTAATGTTAGCCAGCCCACATCCAAACCATTCTGCAGACTGTGCTAGCACTGGTAGTCACAGTCCTGAGCACTGTTAAATTACTGATTTGGTAAATTATTAATGTGGTCCATGGCACAGATTTGGCTTAGGCCAACAGATATTTTTCCAAACAGAGTCCAACATGGAAAAGGAAACCGGGACATGTTCAGATGATGGACTCGCTACTAATGAAGGGTAAGAGCAGAATAGATTGCTATATATTATCATTATGTCTTCAGTCCTCTTATCATCCTCTTTGTTACATGTGGAATTATTTTCATTCAGTCCTCCTTAATCCACAGGCTGATCTTCGTGGCACTCAGTCACTGTTATTCCATAAATGTAGGTACATCTTTTTATTATATGAAGAATGAGTCAGAACTAAGAAGTACTGTGAGATTTTAAATAATAAGATAGGGGAGCAAACAACATAAAGAGCTTGTTTGAGAGTGAGATGGAATGTGTGCGCTGAATTTAGACACATTATTAACACCTACTCTGATAGTCAACCTAAATAATGAAATAGTGTGGTGCTTCAGCTCAAACCTCTCAGGACTCATAAACTTTTTGTTCTGCTTACCTGAAAGGAACCCAAGCCTAGCTCAATGTAAAGTCGAGCTTCCAAACCAGTGCTCTCTGGGAAAAATGCAAATACGATGTAGTGCACTCCAAAGAGTGGGATCAAGAGCAACGTAGATTTAGCAAGTCTCCTGGCAAGTCAAGGATCAAAGAACAAGTCATTTTTACATGTGTGAAATTAGTGGCAACAGTTTTGTTGGAACAAATTTTACTGCAGCTCAGAATGGATGCAACTACATCCAACAAGTTGTGGAAAGATTGCTTTCTGGCACTCCCACTGTCAGCATCTAGCCAGCAAAGATGAACAAATCAGCATGTAAGTATTTCAGAATGATCCTTATGTGTTCTTCTCCATGCTATGCATACAACTGCTGAGGCACCAAACAGGGCATTCTAATCCACCCTTTTGAGACCAGTCTCAATCCCTTGAAGGTTTCTACCATGTAAACGCCTAAACTGCCAAGGATGATCTGATTATTACTGTCCACAAGACTTGAATCTGTTGCTTAAGCATTGGTGCTAGAACTATGAACAATGCCCTAGGGCTTTCTGCTTGATGTTCAGATAATTCCAGAAGGGCACACTCTTGCACTGTAACTAAAAGACATCTTGGGAAGAATCAAATATCTTGCTAGTACAGGATGCTAGTCCTCTGACTGCATCACTGAGATCCACATTGATTTTAAAGGGGTTAGTAAACAAGGCAGACTACATTCAGTCATTAATAGACTAACAGCATGTTACTGTTGAGGATTAAATAAAAATTATCTGCTTCTTTCCCTGTCTGTGTGGATACGTCTGGAAGCAAGATGGATGCATTACCTGAATATATTTACTCATTCAAGTTTGGTCTTTTTGCAGCTGTAGTACTTTGCATTAGACTTCTCACCCTCCACCCCCTCCCATGCCTCCTAGGTTCCTGCCTCCTCCCAAAGAAGAAACTTGTGACATTTGGGATAAAAAGACAAGTTTAGTTTACTATTTCTTCTGAGGATTTCTCTTTCTTTATTGTAACCTATTTGTTTCCTTGCCTGTAAAACAATATCTTAGGGCAGCTAAAATGGGTAAATTTCAAGAGAGCCTACAATACTTACACAAAGTGGCTTGAATTGCTCCCCCCTCTCTCTTGAGATTTCAATTTATGGACTAGAATTCTGATGACATTAATAAATATAATGAAGTTAACCTGAAAAGGCAAGACAGAATATGTAAATTTACTACAAGTCAGGAAGTATCTTCAATTGATATAAATTAACTAAAAATCTTTACTAATAGGAAATATATAAACAGTGGACATTTGCTCTCAGATCATATCAGTATCATTAGAAATAATATTACTTTCTCCCACCATTATATAGCTATCTATAAAAATATGATCAAAATTTTGCTGGATGAGTCAAGTATACAAATCTCAGTATTGCTGTGTGTCTGATGTTATCTCATTGCATTTATTGTCAAGTCTTAGAAGATTCTTTAGTTTAAGTAGTCCCTCCAGTTTCCTTCGTTAATTATAACAGAGATTATAACAGACACAGTCTTAAATAACATACTATTTTCTTCCTAAATTTAGATGGAATGAATTTGCACACGAGACAATTTTTGTCTTGAGTTTACATCATATGAATTCATTGTAAAAATACACTAGATAAAATGATCTGGAGAAATTTCTTGAATTAAATCAGTTTCCTATTATCTATGAGGTATCTATGCCAATATGGACATCCTTCAGAAACAGAACACAGAAACACAGGCAAGAACATGGCATGTGGAATGGACGTGTCAAAGTGGTTCTGCAATGCCCTAGGATGACTCCAGAAAATGTGTGATATCAGTTGTGATTTAGGATTTTTGGTTAAAAAAAAAAAAAAGCAACCAACACTATAATTTCCAACTCCTTGACATTCAAAAAAAGTCAAGTATGGCATATGGCATTGCTTTTTTCCACTTCATGGGAAAGAAACACTAGTATAGCTGTAAGATTTCAGAACGTACTGAAGAAAAAAATGCAGAAACATACCAGTACAGTTAACAGAATGGGGCCCTTGATGATCCATAACACCACTCCATTTTCATCATCATCCCAACATCTGAAAAGGCAAACAAAAGCAATAATGTTACGTGCACCATTTGAACTTTTCACAACATACAGAACTATTTCTGTCACTGATTAGGAAAGTGATGGATGCTGTTTTAAATGATAACTCCAAGACCTCTACCAGTATTCTTTCCCTGATACCTCCCAGAAAATTTACGTGCAGTCCAATTTGAAGGAAATTTATTCCTTCTTTTTTCTTTTCTCTTTTTTGTGACACAGAATAGTGAGCTGAATAACGTTGGAGCTTACAGATGATAGCTTAACCAGCATGTCTGAGTGTAATGAGCATCATTAATGTAAGTTCAGATTGTTAGGCCTGTGAATTAGCTGTTGGATAAGAAAAGAATGGTTCTGATACTGTGATTTGAAACTACATCTGATACCAGAGGAGCAACCAAATGAATGACAGTGTCTGCAATAAAAATGTTCCAGCTCTATAAATGTCTTCATTGAAGCTATTCCACTACACTACCTTTACAGCGTAACAGGATGTTACTAATCTCTTTTTTATAATGGACATACAAGTATACTAGAGAAGAAGATAGTATGGGTAGTGGCTTTGCTGGAAGAGCACTCAAAGTTCCAGTGCTCTCCAGTCTCCTCTTCATAGAATCACAGAATGTCCTGGGTTTCAAAGGAGCACAGTGCTCATCCAGTTCCAACCCCCTGCTATGTGCAGGATCACTAACCAGCAGACCAGGCTGCCCAGAGCCACATCCAGCCTGGCCTTGAAAGCCTCCAGGAATGGGGCATCCACAATCTCCGTGGACTCTTCAACTGTGAGAACTTGTCAGATCTCTTGTTCACACTCTCCAATTTCCTTCTGAGCTTTATTTATAATGCCTTTGCAATTGCGCCAGGCTCTTCTGCTACAGATTCAACAAAATAAACCCAGCAGTGTGGTCATTCTTTGGAAGAGGAGCAACAGGAAAGGAGGAAAAATGAAATCCTCCTCACACCTTTCCATGCACATACAGTGGAAAGGATGACGACTTATGAAGTATTACAGTGGAGAACATCTACTGCAGACACACTGCAGTAATTAGATGAGAGCAAAATACAGAGTGTGGACTATAGGACTTATTATTTCTGCCTCACTAAATCGAGTCCTGACAAGGTAGATATGAAATAGTATCTCTTCCAACTTATCATCCATATGAAATGACATGAGGGCCTTCAGGGCAGCTCTTTGTAAACAGTCCACTGTTTATAATTGGCATTCATGTTCAAAGACAAAAAATAACAATGAAAAAGAACAGAAGGAACATAGCACACAAAACTACCTGTAAAGATGTAACAGTGTCTTTGGGAGGTGCGGGTTTGAAAAGGTTAAGGCTTCATGGCTGTTTTTAAACAGAAGCACTGATTTTCTTAAAGTGCAGTTATTTCAAGGATTGAGCATTGGGAAACAAAACATGATTTCAACTCTTGCTATGGCATTTCCAGTTTTAATTACTCAATATATGTACATCAAAATTAGATGTTTGAAAACTATTTTCTCATGTTCTTGTGAAGTTTAAAGATCTGAGGCACACCATTGGAACAATATTCTTGTTTATCCGTTATTAACTTCTATTTTTTTTTTTTACCTGCTAGTAAATCAAAATTCATTATAAATTTAGACGACCTTGGCTTCCTTACTCAAACACTGACTTACCCTGTGTTTTGTTGATGGAGTCTTGTGAGGACCCAAGTAAGCATCACAGCAGTGGGAGCTCCTGGGCAAATCAACATGGAAAAAACATATTTTTTAATGCTGTGTTCTATGGAAACTTTATTGAAAGAATGTTCACAGTGCAGCAGATTGGATGCCTCATTGAAACACAGACAATGGGCAAGTCAAATTACAGAAAACTTAACTCTCAGTTCAGAGAAAAAAAAAATCCATGTAGAATAGCAGCATGAAACTAAAATGAAAGAGAATAGGGGGTGTCGTGGAACTGCAATTTCAAAATATAGTTTTAAATATTCAGAACTGACATTTTAATTAACAAAGAGAAATATTTGTATTCATAATACCTAAGACCTGAGTTGTCCCGAGACATTTCTTACTTTTGATGGATTATAGGACATGAGCATTGCTGCAGTATTAATTGAGGTGTTTCTTTGTTATTTCATGTTAGCTGTTATTAATCAGGACCTAAGTGTTTAGTTTCTGGCAATCATAATTTGAGTAGCTCCAAATTAATATCCCTTTTATAAAATTGAGTTGTTTTCTTTCTAATGAAGGCAAATAAAGTCTGAGAATCTGGAGAAAAAAGAAAAATTATAGTGTAACTTGTGAGAATTTGGATTTCACTCTCAAAATAAAAGTGCTCCGTAATCTCTCATTAAAGTGTCTCTATTTTAGAATGGCTGAAGTGAGATGCAAGAAGATAAGAGTTGCAGTAAACAATTATCTGCACTGAAATTTTATGCATTAAATGCACCTATTCTGATACTGGGGGATGCTTCAAATTTATGTATACACTCAAAAGATTCCTTAAAGACAGAAAATGTTTCTGAAAAAAATAAATAAAGAATTATTGATTCCTAGATCTGACCTTGTGCAATCTCAGATTAATCTCTTTCTGCCTCATAAAAGCAAAGTGTCAACTTAAAGATGGTCATTCAAACTTCTTCAGTCAGTGGAGGGAGACAAGATGTTTTCAGGCTGTTATCCAGGCACATTAGTCATCTGCTTGAGGAACGGATTAATCACCACCACAGCATGCCTACCTCACCCTACTGACTACAGGAGAAACCTGGAGAGATAGCTTAGAGTTAGATTATTAATTTATAATGACTATAGTTGCACGAAATTAATTCCAGTCATAAAGAGGAGCGCAGCAGTCTTTAGAAGCGTTAGGATATTCCTACTCAAATGATCCATTCTACCTTCTTCAAAGTTTTAAATGGCAAAGTATCTAACAAGGTAAGAAATACGGATAATGGTATGGTTTTAATGTGGTGCCCCTGCACGAAAAGGTACCTTTCTTCAAATGAAATTATCGGAGAAAACCTCAGGATGTTTTATTTAGTTCTAAAAGTAAATAGAAACAGTAAACAGCACAAAGTGGAAAACAGTACAAACCCCAGCCAGCAAAGATGAACCACCATACGTATTGCTTGTCCGAAACAAAGGTCAGTAAAAGCAGTGTCTGAAGGTATATTCCTTCAATAAGAAGCCAGAAGAAATTGGCTAAAATACTGAACTGGAAGAATGCCACTGCAGCCTTACAAGCTACCTGGAAATGGGAAGGAAGAAAAAAAATTATTAGATGTACTCTCCATTGCGTTTTGGTTCTCAACAAGTATAAGCAAAATTGAATTTTGCCAAACAGAAACTGAGGAATTTAATACAAGGTTTCAGAAGTTTGAATAAAACAGAATACCTGATTATATATACGATTATTTGATAGAAATAGATACTGCTCCGTAAGACTCAACGAGGTTGTGCATTATATACTACAGCTGAATGTAACCCATAGCACTTGATCTCATGGCTTGTGATACTGCTTGTTTTAAGATTAAAGTTCTTGCAAACTGAAGGGAAATGGGATTAAGAAACATCTACGTTCTCTTAAAATCATGAATTAAATATTAACTCAAGAAAAGAGAGCACAGAAATTTAGTACCGTTGACATCAGGCAGTGGTCCATAGTTTCATCTGCAAACAAAACGGCATCTTTGGTGAAAACAGCAATTGCTCTCAGGATAAAGGAGACAAACAGGTGCATATGGATGTAATTCCGTGTACAATGGAACTTTCTGACATGGAGAAAGAAAAGGAAAATTGTTTTTCAAGAGAAATTTCTCACGGTCTCATCAAAACTCAAACAGGTATACAGGATTACTTCAGACACTTTCCAAGTTCAATTTCCCCTACATGGTCCTGCCCACAGTCTAAACTTGAGATGAACGAATCTCCTTCAAGATTTGGATATATCAACCTCTATACCTGGGTCTCTTTATAAGAGAGAGACTGCCCACTCCATCTAGGAAATTGCTTCTGTTGTCTGTGCTCTTGCCTGGAGATCAAGCTTAAGGCTTTTGTCCAGGTGCATTGAAGCCAATCAAAAGCAGCATTAATTTCCTAATATCTAACATTATCAAACATGACATATAAATGTCTTTCAACCTCGCTCCATTGCTCCTGATAATGTCTTCCACAGAAGGAATGAGCAGCTTATAATGATTACAGGTTTAGGAAGTGAGGCATACTCAGTTTGTGTATGGTTTGTCCTGCTATGTACTGGAGAAATATTTATGTTAATAGCAAAAACAGCTTAGAGCATTTCTACTGTATGGTGCAATTAAAGAGACCAGGACAAACTGTCCAGCCAGCTTTAGTGTTTTAGCTTCTGGGGGGAAATGACACCACATGAATATAGAAGAACTCATTGCCATTGACAGTAGAACATCTGAGAAAGGTTTGAAAATAGGTAAAAACAAAAACACAGATAGTTCGAAAAGAATTAGGATGAGGCTGTCTACAGACATCCTGAAAAGAGACCAATTATTATTACCTGAAGGCAGCAAAGACAATTAGAGCTGTAATGAGTGTAGTCACTGATGCTGCATAGCCAGCAGTGTAGACACGCCAAAATGCAGAATAATATGATTTCTATGAGAAAAAGAGAACACACACTGATGCTGGTGGTTATGCAGCATGCATACTGATGTGCTTCAATAAGATACAATTTCCCTCACTGGTCAGTCCCATCCCTTACATACTGCTTTAGATATTAAAGACCTGATTTAGGTTTCTCCCTCCATCACTAACATGCTTTTGATTATTTATTATTATTATTATTATTATTATTTTAACTTTGAAGCCCTCATACATGTGAGCCAGGTTTCACAGCCCATCAGTTCATCCAAAATAGTCACCATAAAATATTTGGAGCATGCTAATTTTGTTAACTAACTACAATTTATCCTGTAGGTATACGTGGATTTGAGGATGCGTAACTTGCTGTTGGGTGATTTGTGAATCAGCACACTTACATGAGAGCCATACTGTACTCCTTTTAGGCCAAGGGATGTTTCATGCTGATTTGAGCTATGGTTAAAGAAAGGAACATAACTTGCATGTAGCAAGGTGAGGAAACCAGAACTCTGTGAAAAATTCTCATGGCGCCGTGAAAGTGAGAAAATTAAAGCCATGAAAGTAACCTCACTATCTTTAATTTCTTGGACAAGTAGTTCATCCAATGGCAATATGCACATTTTATTCTAATTTACTACAGGATCCCTTGATTATTCAAAATCCCAAGAAAACAAGTTTCTGAATTTTCCTCCTTGGAAATGCAGTAGACACTTTGTTCTCTAATTGATCCAATCTCTGTTTCTCCAAAGACAGCATTTCTAAGTTGAGGCAATATATTAGCAATTTTAAGTGGATCCATAAATAAATCAGGTAACCCTGACAACGTAGGAATCATCCTGGTGTTTCTGAAATACCGCTAATGTTTTATATGGTATTTTCAAAACAAAGGTTCAAATTAGAAAACAGCTTCTTCAGCTGAATAAGGAAGTGTTTTGATGTGCTTTATATATTCTTCTAGGGTAGATAAAAATCAATGCTGTATACAAAAGATGCTTCACTGAAGATAAAAAATATAAAACAAGTAATCCTCATAGAACATAAGTGGGGTTCTTATCACCTGCTTCCTTCTGTTTACAGAACAGTAGAGCTTTTTGATTTTGTCTTCTCTTCATGGACCTTCAGGGTATGACTGAGATAACAAACCTGAAGAATTTTTTAAGCGTTTTTCTTTTCAGCTTCTCCACATAGCAGAGAAATATAAATATTTTTTGGTTTACATTTGGGGAATTTTGCTCCAGATATTTATACTATCTATTACAACCATGCTTCTGTTTCCAATTTTATGGAAACAGAATTCATCCATTAGGATGAATCCATCTAGGTCTAGACTCTCTAAAGATTCAGATAATTGAACTATTACTTCTGTGTTTGAGCAATTACACCTCAAGAGCCAAATTAATGGCTTACACCAGAAAACAAAAAAAGCTGGAGTATTAATGAAAACAGTCCTGTTCAACCTCTTGTCTTGCTTTGATCCGTGGCTAATCACCTTTTTCCACTGTGGAGTCATGACTCTGACCATGCACAAGGATAAATTAGTCTTTTCTTTCCCAGATTGGAGAGATGTCCATTGCTTCTATCAAAATACCACAGTGAGAGGAGTGAGCTGTTATGATACAGGGTCTAGTGCATTTGTATGAGATGTAGAAGCCTTGCCCAATGCAGAATGGGTACAAGGAGTGGGAATCCACCCTGTTCTCTTGTGTTCCATTTAGCAAAGATCAGAACTCACGAGACAGAGGCAGTGATAGAAATCAATACCCTTCAGCCACAAAGCAAAGCTCATACACTGAAGAACTACCATCACCAATGCAGTGCGAAGCACTGGAACTACACTCAGTGGTTTCCTATGGCAGGTTGGTAAGTATTCCTTGGAAGATGATGTGGATTCAAATCCTATCTCTCAGAGAAACAAATTCTATTGGACAGGACAGGTGATCTAGCCACAAATCTATTGAGTAACACCAAGAGAAACAAAGGATGGAGAGCTTTATATTAAGCCTAATTTGTTACTTAATAGGTTTGAACTTAACACTGAAGAAAGATCATTTCTGAATTCTGATGGGGCTCAGATATGTGGAAATATCTGTCTACTCAGCATAAACAAGAGAGTGTGTTTTAGAGACTTCCACAAACAGGAAATAAAAACCTACCTGATCCTCAGGACCTTTGCTGGAACCTTCATCAAATCCACAGGCAACAGCATATGATGGGAATGGTTCTGACCAATATGCCTCCTTTGTGCAGTTTCTCTGAAGGAAGCCTTTAATGGCAAAACATATCAGAGAATTAATTAGAGGATGGGGATGTTACATTGGGTTTTGTTTGTTCGTTTTCTGCTGTTAATTATTTTTATATTTTGACAAGAAATGATTTTGATTCTTAAGTTTGGTCCTTGCCAATTTAGTCATGTTAAGTACAACTAGCCATACACAGTAAATAATCTGAACGTTTATTCTTTGAAGATTAACACGGATATTCCCGTTCATTTCAAGAGGTAGAATTTCATTTAGGTAATATAGATGTTCTTTCTGTAAATTCAATCTTCACACAGAGGAAATCAAATTATGAAATCTATCCTGCATTCACAACATAATTTATGTGTATGAAAAAAGCCCTGAGCCACTTGATCTAGCTTTGAAGTCAGATATAATTCTTGAACTTGATCCTGCTCTGACTCTAAACTTAATTTTTCATGACTTCATAAGTCAGTGATTCTATGATGTATTCCATTATAATAACCTCAGCAATCTAGTGCAATTACCCATAGTTTTTAGATCAAGGAGACTAGGTAATTCAGTACTGTACACGAAACAAAAAAGTATCGAATATCCACCATAAACCAAGATGTGTAAGTGCATCATTACCCTGCGTTGGCTGACATTGGATGGCTTTGTGAATCATGAAAACGTGGAAGTTACTGAATCTGTAAGTACTAGAATTTATTTTTAAAGCATGTAGGGATAATAAGAATATGAAGAAAGTCTTGCCATGGATATTGGTGATTTCTTCAAAAAATCTTGGACAAGGAATTTTAACTATTTCCCCCACAGCAGCTCTGGGCCAACAGCTTAGACCATCCCAATCTCTGGCACATCCTGGAAAGAAAAAAAAAAAAAAAAAAAAGATTCTAAGTAAAGGAATTACATAGAGTTGATTTGCCATAATGAGATTGTCTATGGCTTTCCCACTTATATGTATGCATGAAGAAGAGTCACAAGAGGCCACAAAGCTCTACAAATGAAGGATTGTATTGCTTTCCTCTTCCTCTTGAGTGTATCATCTTTCACAAGTGCACTTCTACCTTCTGTTTGGAAAGAATGTACATGAAATTCAAGCAGACACAATCTGAAAGTCAAATCAACTGCAGCTGTTTCTATTGTCAAAACAAAACAAAATGGAAGTAATAAAATAAAAATATGGAATAATTACTAGCTCTTGAGATTTTTCATTAATGGTTTCAGAGTCTAGATGAAAATAATTGAAAAAATCCAACATTAACTTCTTGATTTCACATCTAAAGTCTATCCATTTCAACTGACTTAAAAGAAAAACCCATAGAGGCTGAAATCCAGCCATTAGTCAGCCAACATTTTGGCAGTGGACTTCAACAGGCATTAGATCCATCCCAAAGCAAGAGAACTTCTCTGAGCATCTTCTGAAACAACCGTCATCAGGAGCAGACCTGCCTGGTTCTTAGTCGTAGGTTCCCCACACCAGAGGTGGCTGACTGAAGATACAGCACCAAGTGTCCAATTAAAAGTGCTATCAGAAGTTACGGTTAATCATGGCTTTGTCACTGATGCCTCACATTGAGACTCTAGCTGCTGTCATGCAGTGGCTTTTGTCAAGCAGGTGTGGGTGCAGCACAGAAAAATTACCAACTACGTAAAGGTGCCCAAAACAATTAAAAAAAAAAAAAAAGCCAGCATCATGCTGTAGCAGAAACTGATCTCCAGGTAGTTATAAGGCAGATATAAAACAGTGCACAAGTTTTATTTGGGAGGTGTTATTTTCTTTCACCGATTCTTTTGTTTCCTCTGTGACTGATGAGAGGGCAAATCTAAAATTGTCAGGAGCTGAAATGTGGAAGCAATATTACTTGCCTGTAGCAAAGCAGAGTTCCTCTTTGGCTTCAGAAAGGAGAGTCCTGAGAATCTCTCATTAAGTTATCCCCACACCACCCTCTTAAGGATGAAATTCCTGCTATCCCCAATTTGCCAAATGGGAAAATAGAAGCCCCAATTTATTATCTCTAATTTTAATTGTCTAAAATACATTAGCTAAACTTAGCCATTTTCCCCCTGCAATCAGTGTAAAGAGACAGGGACTTCCAGTGGATGATTCATCCCACATACTGGTGGCTCCCTTCTGAGGACAGGATGAATCACTCACTGCATGTACTCAGGTCTCTCTGGTGATTATAGACTAGGCTGCTAATTTGCAAATGAACAAAGTTCGGTAAGCTGAGCTCCATATAGACAAGCAGTGGTCCACACATCTTAGGAGATAAAGGGTCCCTCTAAAAAGCATTCAAAAATCATGAAGGAGCTCTAGGATAAAAATGTAGCCTATTTAACAACGTGGGATTAAGCAACAGATCCTTGTTTGGGAATGGAACTGGGATGTTTTCAGTCTCAAATTGGGCTCCATTTCCAGTGACTTAAAACTGATGGCTAGGCCACAGAATGCAGAGAACACTTTGCATGCTGAGGCTTTCAAAAGACTAATGAATGGCAGTCACCTGAGACTCCATATAGACAACTGTAGTAGCAATTACATCAATAATGTTGACATCATTAATATTTCAGACTGCTTCAGTCATTCTTTCCTTTTTAGACAGCAGAGAAGAGTAGGCATTTTTAGGGTGCGATTTGCTTTTTTAGAGCTTGATTCAACTGACCTGTTTTACCCACATACTTCAACAAGAGAGGAATTATATCCTGGGTCTACTGATGAAACTCATTAGACACTGCTGTGTACAACGAGAAAAATGCATAACAACTTCAGATTAAAACCTCTGCAATGTAGATGAACCCCACCTCTGATTCCCTTCTGCTAGGAAGTAACTCTGTATGATTTGTGATCTTTCAGTTTATTTCCTGAAAACTGAGAAACAAGTCAGGGACTTCTCCCATTGACGTAAGTACCATAGGTACAACATTGAGCATGAACTGTTTTTCCTGGTCTCATGTTTCATTTCAAACTATTCTGAGAAAGGGCATAAAAAAGCAGAAGAGATTTTTGTTAAATTCTTTACATCTCTAGAGAATTCATGTGGAAAGGAATCACTAGGAAAAAAAAAAAAAATCACACTTGGAAAGATTCAAGAATTTTAAATAGGGATTTTAAACAGGGATTTGAGGGAACTGTATTCCTTTTAGTGGCTTTTACTACAAAGAAGATTCCAGAATCATGCAATTATTTTTCTGTTGAAGAAAAAAATACTTGGAATATTGTTCTCTACCCTTCAAAGAGGAAAAAGTGTTCAACAAATCATGGTGGAAGATGCCTGGTTTCTACCAGAGTTTTGGGGGGGACTTTTAGTAGGCGTTCCCAGCACAGAATCTATCCAGGAGGTATTCTGGACTTGATGAAAGGGGGTGAAGGAGTGAGAGGAAAATAACAATAAGATAAAATTGATGAGAACTAGAAGAATGCCAGGTACCAAAGCAATTGGATAGGCTACAGAAAAAAAACAGAATCGTGGAATCACCAAGGTTGGAAAAAGACCTTCATGATCATCCAGTCCAACCTAAGCTCAAAAAAAAACCAAAACCAAAAACAAACAAACAAACAAACAAACAAAAAAAAAAAAAAAAAAAATACCACAACATTTTGAAGAAATTGGTATTGCATGTGTTTTTTTTTTCCTTCTAGCAAATAAAATTTTCACCAAAATTTAAATGATTTTCAACATAATATACTAAAAACCATGCTCAAACTATATTCTCTGTAAGCTTCTTCTATTTCAATGTTTTTTTAAAAAAATAATCCAAGTATGATTTTCCTACCCAAACTATGCATCTAAAATTTTTCAGAGTACAAACTAATCATCTTAGTCTCATCCTGTAGATAGTAAAGAGAAATATGACTGCAAAGAATGATTCATCACATCCTAAAATAAGCATCTAAGCCAGAAGCAGTGAAAAATTTTCTGTGGACATCTACCTTCCTCCACTAACTGTAAGGGAATCTAAGAAGACACATCCTGACTTAGATATTGAGCTTCTAAAGATGCCTAAAAGCTGATGGGGTAAAGCTCCAGCCAACAGGAGAAGCACTTCATACCAAATAGGAGTAGAGGATAGGAATGTAGATCAAATTGTGACCCAAAAGAACAACCGATATCTTCACAGCACACATCAGAAGTGATACAATTCATATTAATAACAGATCTTAGCCATCAAGACCATTACCTTTAAGATCAGGTGAAACAGATTCGTTCCTTTCTAAGCAGAGCGCTTCTTCTTTCACCACCTGCTGGAATATCTTGCATTCTGGATGGATTCCCACAACCTCAATGAGACAAAGACAAAACAACCAGGAATTCCAGTGATTACCAGAACAAACAGAGCAGGATTTCTTTCCTGTTTGTAACTTAGGGTTTGTAATTTGAGGTAAAATATTTTGCAGACTCAAGCTGAAGATTTTTCTGCAAACAGGACACGTAAATAGCAGAAAGATGGACAGAGAGGAAAAGGAGGCTCTGATCCTGAATATATATCAGTTTATACACATGTGTGGGTATGCATCACTGCTGGGATTTTCCATGGTAGCACTGTTTATGTAACACCTTTTCTTGAAGTTGGGCTTTTATACTAGATCCTCCTCGTATCTGTGTTTTTCACAAAACTTAAGTGCTCATTTGCACTTCAATAAACAAAACTAAAGCCCAAGTATTTACAGAAATTAGAAAAAAAAGAAAAACACTTGATCATAGATGGAACTGAATGATTACATGATTTTGTCACCATACTTCCTGAGGATGTGCACAGAGGTACTATTTCCATTTCATCAGATGAGGAAAAGAAAAAAAACAAAAAAGAGTTATTTCCTAATGGAGCTGAAGAAATTACATTATTTCTCAGATAAAGATACCTACATTTGATCAGCTAAGTAGATTTCCAATCATCAACCAGAACTGCTAACTGGGTCAATTTCTTATGTACAGATACTTAATGTCATTCAGGCACTCTCAAATATTTTGCTTAGCCTCCCTCTCCTACTCTGAAAACTTTCAGATCCTCTGTAGAGCTGCATCATGTCTGCTCTCATTGTGAAGATGCTCTTAGTAGACTAGAACATCTGATAACGATGGCAGGTTCTTCTTCAGGAGCCACTGAACTCCAAGAAATTGTATATTGCTGGTGCCTACGTGTGACTTTGTTACTCAAGCTTCTTTTGCAGTCAGTAGAAATCCATGGGATGTTTCACTTATCCAGGGAGGATCAATGACATTCAAAGTAACATAGGTTATCCCAAAACTTTTGTTGTACAATCAGTAGGCGTACAAAGGTTAGGCTTAGTAAGATTACCAAGATAGAAAAATAATCTAAATAAATGCTCACGGGTATCGTAGGCTCAGTAAACTCCACAGGGAGCAATCTGGTGGTAATCAGCTCTTAAATGGGATTTAGGAGAGGTGGAGCCAGGCTCCACCCCTTCTGGTAGCACAGGTGAATTGCCTTCACCTGTGCTCCTAGGGCTGACTCATTGGTTGCCTCAGGTGGTCAATCAGAGGTTCAGGCCATGACCAACAGTTCCCATACACTTGTGTAAGCCCTGTGTTAATTTTGCCAGACCTATTAAAAATTTCAAGCACTCTGTCTGGGTTGTCTTAAATAGTTCTGTGCGTGCATGTTTAAGCAAGTGAATCAAAGTCATTAGAGTCAAGAGAGCCTAGAAAGCACATCAGCTATGTTCAGACAAATGAATAGATCACCAGAGTCTTCACTGGCTATAGTGGGATCTTCATGACATGGAATCGTGGAATAGTGCAGCTCTAATGCAAGCTATTCAAAATAAAGCCAAAGGCTTTAGGCTTTGAGAGCACTGATTTTAATTGAAATGATGGATTGAAGGATTTCTGAGAAAGACTGTAGGCCATTCTAAACCTCTAATGACTTTGAAAACACAGCGCAGATGAAAACATTGCTGCTTTATTGCCTTTTCAGTCACTGGAAGTTGATTTATTGGCTTTCAGAATGTTTTCAGTCAGTGGTGGTACTGTAAGCCATGTAGACTTTTTTTTTTTTTTTTTTTTTTTTACAGGATTATCTGCCTAGAGGAATAAAAAAGTAGGAACACAAATTTGTCTCCAAAAAACCTTCAAAAATTGTGCCTACATTTGGGTTTTAAAGTAGCATGGACAAAGCACATTTAATTATGGGTCTCTAGAAATGGTTCATACATCCTAATATTAGAACAGAAAGAGGATTAAGGACACTGTATGAAAAGAAATTTAAGGCATTGCTTTTTTTCAGGCATAATATCCCTCCAGCAGTAATTTGAAATACATTCTATAAATCAGCATAAGTTATTCTTAAAATAGTACCTCGTGCTGTTCTACTGTAGTAACACGACTCTGAAATGTAATTTTTCAGATTTAATCTGAGTCCCATTTATCACTTTACCATTTAAAATGCATTTCAGTTGTCTACATAACAAACAAAAAGTCTGAGTAATAGTAAGAAAATAATTACTACATAAATCCATTACTTCTGCTTATAGGAATGGAGTCAGGCAGACAGAAAGCAAGTCATTATTTCATTTTCTGAAATTCCTAGATCCTGCTGCTGTTAATGAGAATTTTTTTTAATGGATTATTCTTAGGCTTGATGTTTGAAAGTTACAATATCTATATTGAGTCCTCTGGCAAAAGACTTGAAAAGCCAGAGCACAAAAATGAAATCAAAACCAAGAACGGAGAATCAAAATGCTCTTGAGATAAAAGCATTTGGGGGCAGATGGGTTAACTTAACGTTCCTCTTCATGCCCGAAGTGTAGGGAATAGTAAAAGCAGACAAATAAAAAGTCTCAAAGGGGGAAGAGATACCTTTTTCCAAAGGCCAACTTAAGCAACACACACGATGCTCACAGGTGGAACTCATAATGAGGAACAGAGCAATTGTGCTCTCCCAAATGCATTGTCAAATGGGGAACATGTATGCCAGAATGCCTGCTGCCTAAAGGAGGAGGCTGCATCTCCTTTTTTTCTTCTTTTGGTAAATCCACACCTGCTAAACCAGTCCCTAAGTCACCATAACTCAGAGCTGCACTGTAGTGAGTGGAGTGAAAATAATTTGCAGTGGTCGTAGAAGACTGTGCTCTACCTATAGGGAAGTTGTGTATTGGTTTTAGACATGACAGAGGAATTGCTGTAGCAGAACAGATCCCTAGACCATGCAGTTTTGACTCTGACAGCAATGATGAATCATCAGGAAACATAATTTTAGGATTTATTTCAGAAATTTTTGGACAACTACTGCTAATGTTCACCATTGGTGAGATTGTAGTCAGTGCCTCTGCTGTCAATGGTTTAGCAATTAATTAGCATGCACGTTTTATTTGATTTTAAGGGATAGCATTTGGGGAGAGGGTAGCTGTAGTTATCAGAACCAGAGTTTTTGTTATATGCCAGTGCATAGATAAAATATTTCTGATAGTCTGGTGGTAGAAAATCGATATCAAGTGCAGTTACAGAGGTAACCTATGGCCTGCTCTACAAGAAGCAAAAATGAGGATGGTGTTGTCAAGAAACACTATTGAAGCCTTACTGAAAGTAACAGAACAAAACAACAACAACAACAACAACAACAACAAAAAGGACAAATGATGAAATGATGCATACACAAGAAATTAAACCATTTTACAGCTACAGAAAAGCAAAAAGCCTTCTGGGTAGAACATTACTTGTGATTTGTCAGGTATGATTTACTTATTTTTTTCTTATTATTCTCACAGAGCCTCAAGATAAAAGTGCCTGTTGATGCTCTAAACTGTGTCTGCAGTGGTTAGATGATGGGGTTTTCTAGAAAGTAAAGGGCCTTGCATTCCTTGTTTTGCCAGTTCAGGGACACAGTTCTGCAATTTTGGATAAACCTTCTATAACCACTGAGCTCTTGTAGGAAAAGAGTTTCTCTTTTTCATCTTATAAAGGGGTAATTTAGGAGCCAAAGCCGAGATGTCTAATCTGATAGAGTCTTCACTGCCATGGTAATAAGCCAAAGAGGCTGGTTTAAAATGGTGCTTCGGTGATCATTTCCTGCTGGCAAGGCAATAACCTGGCTTTGAATTTACTGTAAATTCCATTATAGAGTGTCTTCACCAGAAGGAAAACACAGCTGTTTCATGCAGCATTGTGGGCAGCACTCAAAGGAATGAGGTCTTGCATTGCTGAGCTACTGAGCTGGCTTGAACATCAGCAACCAGTCAGAGCTCACAGGGGTGTCTTACATTTGAGTTCTGACCACTGAAACAGTCTTGCCTGGAAAAAAAAAATAAATCAGAAATGAACATGAAAAAGTTACTTACGACAAGACAGGGAATGTTAAAAATCTGAGACAGTTCATAGAGCCAGATTTTAGATTCATAATTACTCTTGAACAACATTTTATTAGCATAGAATCATAGAATCATTATGGTTGGACAAGATCTTCAAGATCATCTTGTCCAACTGTCCACCTACCACCAATATTGCCCACTAAACCATGTTCCTTAGTACCACATCTGAATGTTTCTTGAACACCTCCAGGGATGGTGACCCCACCACCATTCCAATGCCAGACTTCTTTGGGGAAGAAGTTGTTCCTAAATATCCAACCTGAACCTCTTGCAAAATCTCTTGCCAGTTAAAAGCATCCGTTTTTGAGAGCCCATCCAAAGATGGTGCTTGAAGGCTGTTGTGGAGGTAGAGAAACCATAATTCAGATGGCACATAAGAGAGAAATCTTCAGTCATTAAAAAGTCTATTATCACACGTGGGAAAAAATAAGGATGAATTCTATGCTCTCTAAAAATAAGGAAAATGCTGGAAAGCTGGGCACTAATATATTAGTCACTTCTGAAACTGCAATTCAGTGGGATCAAAGAGCCAGGAGAAATTTGGTAACACTTCACCTTTTTTTGACTATTCATTAAAAAAATGGAATCTGAATTTATCGACAAGGTAGAAATGTTTCAAGAACCTGAATGGTCTTTTTAGTGATCTGGTTAGTTTCTAATGCAGTCCAAATCTAAAATCTGAAAAATAGATTATGTATCAAGTCCATAAATCCTTCACTAAGAATATTCATCACTGCTTTTTCGGTCTCTGTCTCTACAGTTTGCATTCATCTCTTAGATCTTCTCTGAAATTGTCTCAGTACTCCCTGTTCTCTGTATCTGTGCTTCTCCTTTTCAGCTTTTCTGATACAACTCTGATGCCTGAATATTTTCTCCCACATTCAAGCCAAAGTTATCTGTCATTCGTATCATACAGACTCCCACCTTGGTAAATTAAAAGTTACCTGGTATTTTCTGACACAGAAAGCCACGTTCAAATATCCTGCATTCCCTGCCTGGTTTTAACTGCACAACGGTTGTGTAAGTTGGCCAGTAGTGTAGAAGACGCATTTCAGAGAATCTAAATGTGCTCTAAAATGCATACTTTTTTTCTTCAGTGTTGAAATGTTGATGAATATAATAAGCTCATAGGATGAAAGGCGGCTCACAAAAAGATTTGAATATGCTTCTAATCACTGAAGAAGTCAAAGTAGTCATCAGGCATTTTCATAAACTTCTCAATCTGTTGCATACAGCTCATCAAAACCCTCCATCAGGCCTGATTCTCTCCACCTGCCTGACACTTTTCTTAAAGAGCCAAATGATAATTGGGTAGATCTGAGACTGCAGCCACAGGCCACATCCAAGTGAGAGATGATGTTCCCATGCACTCCAAAAGGAGCTGAGGCAAACCTACAGCTCCGTAAGCTCCTGCTCATTTCAGTGCCCACTTCATCATCACTGCAGTGAGGATTTTGCTATCCATTGTGACCTATCAGTGATGCCTGTGTATTATAACAGGGTAAATTAAAAACCTGCTTTCCTGTGCATCCTACTGTAGGGAACTGCTTTAGCAATGGGATTGGATGGGATGATCTCCAGAGGTCCCTTCCAACCCCAACAATCCTGTCATTTTGAGACAGAATTCCGTTCTATTGGAAAACTGGAAGAAACTATTAAAAAGTAGCCACAATTTTTTACCATCAAAGCTTAAATGTGAATGTAAAAACCAGCCAGTGTCCACTTTTTTTCTACCATATCCAAAACCCGTTTCCCATTTCTGATTTTATTGGAATGTCACCAACAATGTGTTTGGCTATCATAGAAAATCCTGTCCTTAACTTGAGAGTTCTGACACAGCCTCGATTCTCAAAACTTTCAACCCCAAAGGTAAAGTCCTATTTCCAATCTTTCTCTTCAGCCAACTAAATAGATTATTGCAGGAGTCTTTTTGGCTTAAAATGACTATCTAGAGGGTATTTTCAGTGTTTGTTTCCTCTTTCTAACTCGATTACCTATGGAACAAGAGAAGATGAGACACTGATTGCCTTACAGTCGTTAGAGGAACATCTCTTCAAGATTGCTTTTAAGACATTGGAGTAATGCTTGAATGCTCCCCTGTGTATTGGATTGTATTTATGGGACTGTATTTAACTGCATGGCCTTGTACAGAACAGTGTTTTTTATACATACATATCTGTGTACGGTCAGTGTATGTGTATTAGTGTTGTGTACCTATCACTCACAGGTCATTCTGTATGTGACAGTACAGATATAATAGCTTATTTTGTTTGTAAACTCTATGTAATTAGTATTATCTCGAGGAAAATGAAAATGAGAGTGCATTACCAGCATAAATTTGATAGACCTTTAATTACTACCAATACGTAAAGAATAGAAGCATGTTACTATCCCTCCATTCTGCTATTTCCAGTGCTTAAACTAAAGAGAAATTTCTCCATTGCTGTGTGTAAAGTGGGTTAGCCTAAGGGTGGGGATAATATCACCTAATCCCAAGGAACTGAAAGCTGGATGTTAAAGTTAGCTGGGAATCTCACTCCACCAAAGCCATAGCTATTGCTCTTTGAGCCTTTCTACCCTTTCCCAGTTGTATGAAGAGACTCAAAACGAGTAGCTTTAGACATTAATTCCAAGTTTTTGATGGACAACTTTGGATGATTTATTCAAGCTTCCCTTGATAATCAATGAAGGCAGGCAGACAGTTCGAGAGAACGATTTCTCCTACCTCTCTTTGAGGACACAGTCTCACCATACAGAACCCATCTCCCTCCATTAGCTCCCTCCAGAGCAAAACACCTGAGCTGCTCCTTCCATCCTTCCAGCTGCCTATGGATGGGGAAGTTAAGGTCACTGGATCCTAGAAGAAAATTGCATGTCCCTTAAACTCAAATTAGTGAATAGTAGCTATGCCAGGAATTTAAGCACCCAGCTCCCTTTTATTGGGAGCACAGCTCCTCGCCATGGATTCGGATCTATGTGCCTACTGCCTCAGTGCTAACCCACCTCTGTTTCCATTCTCACCTCCACTCATTAAATCAGACAGAAGCCTTTTCCCAGAAATGTGAAAAGCTGCTAAGTGTTTGGAGAAGAAAGCAGTTCAGCTCAGCAGGATGGATGGTGAATGCAGTGTTTTTTCAGTGCCTCCTCATCTTTTCCCAGAGATTCTGAGATCTTTAAGACAGGAAAAGTCCTTTTTATGCATTTCAGCACCTACTGCTCTCTGTTGCTTGTCACTTACAAGCAAATGATAATTTTTAATGTCAAGGACTACTCTCCAAGGCACAAAGGAGCTCTTGTGACATGCAGATCTCTGTGGAGCTGATATGAGCAAGAATTACCTCGATACATAGAGGAAGTTTTCAGGATTGCCCTTCTGGTTTATTTTCACATCTGAGTGAAGAACTCTTTGGAGAATCTGCACTATGATTATTTCTCTTCTCTGCTGTGTTCCTTTGACATGTGATAAAACTGCTTGCCGCAAATATCCAAGGATCTCTGATCCTCTCTGACAACTGGGCTTTGGGTACAGATCTCTCCACTAGCCCACATCTGAGGTGTGCAAGCCACTGAATTTAGTGGCTGACTCTTCCCAGACAGAGTTCATACCTGACCAATAACTCGATCACAAAGCCTACATGGAGCATTCAGTTTGTCAACCTGGCATTTGTCTTCTCTCACCCCACCTAATAAGGCATTTATGATGGGAACTGACTGCTGCAGTATGCTGAAGTGTTAACATGCGTGGCAGCCTACAGGTGTGCGTGATACATCAGGTTAGCTCTGCTCTGCAGACATCTGCAAGAATACACTGTGCCAGTGATATGTGTAAAAAGGGCCATCCAGCTGCCGAAGGCACTCTACCTGTAGCAGCAGGATGATTCAGGTTGAATAATAACCACAGGTAACAAGATTTATGTAGCCAGAATCCGCATCATAACGCTTGCAAATAAAACTGAGTAAATACAGAGAAAAAGTGAGTGTTCCAGAAGATGGGAGGTAAGAATGAGCATCTTTTCACCTTTTGAAAGTGAAGGGCAGAATCCAGTCTGTGACCATCTAGCATTACTAGGAAAAATCAGGCTCTGTAAGAGCATTCACTGCATCTGTCTTTTGCAGGACAAGATGAAATGCCTCCAGGGAAGGTAATGGTTTCCTCACTGACTACAGAGGGAGCCTGAATCGCAGTCTATGCTAAATATTTAACTCCAATATGGCTCAAGGTAGAATTAATGAGCCCCCAAGAATCACACAGGAAGGTCTGCAGACAACTCTTTGAGGCCAAGGAAGAGGAGATATGACTCTACTTACACCTACACCTGCTGTGGCTCATCAGCACAGGCAACCCCAGCAGCTGGCAAGGGAGGGACGTACACACTCTCTGTACATGTCCCTCTGCTCATCCATCTTCCCTGATGCTTAACATTACAATCTCACCTGCTGCCTCCAGCACACAGCAGACACGAGATGCTTCGTGCTCCTGCTTGGTTAGAAGCAGCTGCCTTCAGGAGTAAAAACACCAGTGCCCTCTCAAAGAGAGAAATATGCCATACCCATCAGGAGAAAGTATTCTTTTCTAGTTATCCTCCCCCCTCCGCAAAGTAGCCTTTCATATGGCAAGGGAGAGAGGAAACTGTCCCTTCCTGTCCCTCTGAAGCCATACTACACCTGTTCTGATTTAGGATTGCTTTTCTATCCTTTGGAAACTGCACTTTTAATCAACAGGAACCGAAAGACGTATTGATAACATTTTAAGGCTTGAAAACTATAATAATAATAATAACAGAAACTAACCTCCTTACTCACAAACATGCTTTATTCCTCCTCCTCTTGCTTTTTCTTTTCCTTTTTTTCCCCTCCTTTCTCTTACATCTCTTTCCTTCTGTCCACTCCCCACTCAGACAAAAGTTAGGCTGCTTCTGGATCAACCCCCCCCCACCTTGATTTCCCCCCACGACTGCTCGTGGTGCAGCGATGGATCCCTCCAGCTGCTGGCAGCAGCCAGATGTGCAACGCCCTCCTCCATCCCGCCGGACACTCACCAAAGGCAGCAGCAGCAACCAGCACAAACTTCGTATTCTCCGCAGCATCCTCCCCTCTTCTCTCTCTGCCGGGGCTGCCAAATGCTTCTCAGCCCGCCCACACCTGCCCAAGACCCGCCCCGGAGCTCCTTGTTCCTCCCTTCCCGAGCACCGGCTCCTTTTTTGAGAGACCCGACAATCGCAACGCTTCGTGCAACGTGGGGTCAGGTGAAGGGAGGGACGCTCTCCAGCATCCTCTTTTGGGGTTTTGGACCCACCTCTTTGAACTTCTGCAAAAACGTGCAGAGCTGGAGCACCCAGGGTAGGTTTGGAGGCAGATGCTCCCTGTGCTATAAATGATGGTGGATTCAGCTCTCCTTCTGTGCTTGGGGATGCTGGTAGTGGGTTCTGGAAGGGTCCACGTTGTGGCATTCCCTCTGCATTCTCCATGAGAGAGTTTTGGCATCTAGCTACCCTCAGGTGGAAGATCTCAAGCCCCAACAGAGGATTTTCCCCCCTAGGCTTCAGAAAGGCTTTTTAAAAACTTTTTTTCTTGATCAAAGCAAAGGGAACAGAAAGGATAAACAGTAATATTGAAATTTCAGAGTTCACAGGACCTGAGCACCATTTCTGGGTTTTGCCACAGAAAATACTGCACCAAGTTACACTCAGGAGCAAGAATGATGAGCATAACAGAAACATTTTTTTTCTTGGTAAGATTAAAGTGCTGCTTCATATTCCATTTATCACTCATTATTTCCCAGTGGGCTTAAACATTATTTGAGGATCACCTAGGCTACCCCAGAAAAGGCACTTAATATCATTTCTGGAACTCCATATTCCTGCAGCTGTCTTTGTATAGATGTCTCTAAATCCCATGACTTTTGCCAGCTCTATGTAGATATTTCAGATATGCAACATGCCTTGCCTATGCTTGGGCAACTGGGTCATGTCAGTGATACCTATTAATTTCTTTTTTTGTGCCTTGGTAGTCCTGACCATACTGCTCTCTGTAATGGGAATGTGTGGACTGTTGTATTAAAATAGTGAAATGTGTATGCTTTGTATCAGAATGTACCTTATCTTAGACATGCATATAAAAGAAATTTGCATCTAAAAATCAAATAGTACTGCCAAATCCATGCTGAATGTGCACAATAAAGATGACAACATAAACAGACATTTGTAGGGTAACAGTGGTAACCCAGTTCTTCTCTTTATGTTTGTCTCTCAGTAGTGCATAATGTGATCTTACTGCTCAACTGCTATTCCAAAATCACATTGGTTATAAAAACAAGTGGTTAAACATCCCAAAAATCATTTAAAGACTGATTTTTATAGCTTTTTCCCCATCTCCAGTAGATGAGTTGAAGCTATGGCCGACTCTCATCAGTTAATAAAGTTACTAATTCTTACACAACAGGAAGAAAAATGTAGGCACCATTACACAAGGCAGGCACTGCATAGTGTTATTAATTCTTAATTCTAACAATTGTAGAAGAAAATGAAAAGAAGAGGTCTGACAAGATAAGAAGAGATCAGAATTCCTGCTGAATAGAGTTGAGCATACAAAATCACGGAACAGAACAATTTGGTTCAAAAGGGACCGATGATGGTCTGATCCCAGCCAAATCCTCCCTTCAAAACAGGGCAAATTTCAGCATCAGGTTGTGTCACTCAGGGACTTGGTTGCCATGTTTTAAAGCATATTTCTGTCAGGAGTCTTTCTACAAAAATCTAGATGCAATTAATGAATATCAGCATGAGATTCCAATCCAGAACGTCCCATCAGGATTCCATTGTTTCAGGCCTCTCAGGTCATATTGATGGAGCCTTTTAGGTCATGACAACCAGCATGCCAGTCTGAAATAGAATCAAATGAAAGACAATTTTGTGTTTGCTTTTTCTTTTTGGAAGGTAGGGTCTTGACATGTGCAGTCATTAGCAGAATGTATTGATTTCTCTGTGCTTCTTTTCCTTTATATTTCCTCTCCTCCACCAGGTTTTCCTATCTGATCCCCAGCATCTACACCACAGGCCACATTCCAGTCCTTGAGCTTTTAACAGACCAGCTGGAAACTCCTCTTTGCATGGCTTGTTGTCCATGCTGATACAGAAAATAAAGCTCTTGTTGGGTTTCTCTAACATGTCGGTTGTAGCTAATGTTGGAAACTACACTTACATTCAAGTCCCTGAGTTCCTCACTTATGTCCATTCATTCTTAAACTAAAACCTTATTTAGGAATCTAATTTCTGTTCATCACATTCATATAAATTATTTGCTGTACTCTTTGTTGCTTTTCTACTTTTTAATCACAAAATGAGTCCTCCCATGGTAAATCTACTCTGCACACTTTTATACAACTCTGACATGCATTAAGATGTCCTTTGAGAACGTCAGAGGGGGATCTAATCACCATGTCCATCTGAAACTTAGACAAGGGAGCAACAGACTTCTGATTCTTCCTAATCCCCATTATGGATGTTCTGAATCAATTAACGTCACTTAACATGAATGACTTGACATTTACTAAGCTGCTTAGAACCTTTTGTAGGAGCTGGAGGATACGGATGCTCTTGTTACCATATGGTGCTATCTGAATAATGCTTTTCCCTAACAAAAATCCTTCCGAAATGCAACAGCCTTTCCTCTGGGTGCATACACAAACACCTTAGACAACGAAAGTGCAGTGCTCCAGCAGCAGGTTGCAATATGAGCCATCAGCTGAGGAAAAAAGGTGAGTCTACTGACATTTTCAAACAGTCTTTTGATGAATCTGACTAAATGCACACAACAAAAAGCCCTAGAGGTATGGGGAAAAGGCTGCAATTACCGAAAGTGCAGAATCCACTGGTTAGACAGAACACGACATTGCAGAGCAGCCTATTGCAACTATAATTAAAAATAAAAGCTCCACTGTATTCAGAGACTGGTGGGCATACAAAAAGGATGGAAGCATTATTTCAGCTGGTGATCTCAGTGGTGTTTAGGGGAATGCTAAGGAGGAAGATAAAACAGCTGGGTAAATGGATTGTTATGGAAGTGCCACAGAGAACTCTGAATATCAGAAAATAAGTACATTTTCCTAGTATATGCTAACTGTGCTATTTACTTGCTATTTTTCCTGGGTAAAACTGAGTCCTGCTGTGTCCCTGGGTTCTGGATCCTACAGTCTGCTACCTTCACCCAGACTGATCACAGGGACATTGGGCAGAGATGCAGTACTGTTTTGTTTTCTTTCATCGTCAGAGAATCGCAGAATGGTTGGATGTCATGCATCCAACCTCAATCTTCCCTCCCTCAATTTAAAACCATTTCCCTTTGTCCTGCTGTTATCTACCCTTTCAAAGAGTTGATTCCCCTCCTGTTTGTAAGCTCCCTTGAGGTATTGAAAGGCTGTCATTATGGTTTAAATACGGAATGAAGCTCTATCCTATCCCCCAAATGTGTTGCCACATTGTTTCTCTGTCCTATTCTTTCTGTCCCTATTGGCTCTCGTCTTCTTTTTAGTGTGTAAGATCTCAGAAGCAAAGGATCCACTGTGCTTTATGCTCTTCAACACTGAAGATATACCACATGCTGACAGATCCCAATGCATGGATGAGTCAAGAGCTGTTGCATTTTAATCTACTACCAATATATTGCAGGAATAGGGAGAAACAAAAGCAAAAACAAATCAACAAATAAACAAACAACACATGAAGGATTTCTTTGGGTATTAGAACTCAGCTTGATGTTCATAAAAACCTGCTCTGATGTTAAAGAGCACAGCACCCTTTGCTCTTACTTTCTTATTACCCCTATTTCACTCCATCTTTTTATACGATGGCTGAGCAGGTTCTGCATCTCTGCAGTTAAGCAAGTTTATGAAGAATTCACACAGAAAATAGTTTTTTCTTCCATTATATTTTTCAAGTCTGGTTTCCCATATGTTCTACAAATACCTCTTCTGGCCCGAGAAAGAAGTAATTTAGGGGTAAGAATGAGCAGCAGAAGGGAACAGAACTTCCTGCTTCACCTAAAAGAAACATTTTCTACTTGGTATTTGTACCTCAGAAGTACTTATACACAGAAGCAAAGTCCATTCCCACTATTTCTTCCCAACAATCATAAAATCACCAAGTTTGGAAGAGACCTCCAAGATCACCCAGTCCAACCATCCACCTACCATCAATATTTCCCAACTAAATCATGTCCCTTAATAGAACATCTGAACAGTACTTAATGTCTCCAGGGACCCCACCACCTCCCTGAGTAGCCTGCTTCTGTTCCTGACTACTCTCCTAGCATAGAAATTTTTCCTGATACCCAACCTGAACATCACCTGGAACAACTTAAGCCATTATCTCTCATCCCATCACCATAACACAGGAGCAGAAGCCAACCTGCAGTCCACCACAACCTCACCACAATTGAAGAGGGCAAATAAAGACAATTAATTACAGCAAAACAAACACCTATTAAAACTGATGGCACTCAGTTGTTCATGAATAAAATGTGACCACAATCAGGTGTTCCTATGATTTTTAAAACACTCTAGGACATGTGAAAGTGCTCTGTGGCTGATGAGCAAGAAAACACTTAAGTAGAGAATGATTGCAATTTACCCAAAGACAATTATTTGCACATGCATTTTCTGTCAGACTCAGCTAGACAAGCAGAAAGCAATGCTGAATACATCACAGCACTGGAGAGATACAGAAAGAAATCATCAAGAATTATAATAAACAGGACATTTAGGCCCATTTCCAGTGAAATATCAGAGCTCTGTACCTCAGCCCTGGCTGAAAGGGAGCTTGCTGAGATGAACAGTATATGACAACCATGAAAATACACTAGACACAAGGTCATGACAATAAGTGTTACAGTCAGCTATAAGAAGGGTCTCCGGGTCTTGAGGTGTGTAAATGAATACATCAGGTTTTGTAGTAGAATAGGACCTTCCATTCTACCCACTGTAAAACTTGCAGGTGAATTCTGACTAGCAAATTGAAATACCAGCATTTAATGGTATGGTTCTGGGATCTGCCTTCTGTACATCTACTTCCCTTTTAGATGCTGTAGGATGTCCCATCTGCCCTCCATTTGCTGGCCCAGAGGTGCTCAAATATCCCATAGATCTTCTGACATACCTGCAATACCCACGTGAACATCTTGGGCCTCTGAAATTGCAGAAGTTCTTTAGTTCCTTCCTGATTGCTGCGTGAGCAAAGACACCTGGCTTCTTCCCCGCGTATTTTAAGCTGTAAACTTAATTCCACCCACATATCTGAAAAGCTTCCCGGCATCTTATCTGCATATATCTACCACAAGCATGCTATTTATGTTCTTTTATGTTAAAAAAAGAAATAAAGGAAAGAGAAAAAAAAAACAAAACACCACTCTTTGAATTTTTGATGTTTCTCATTCAAAAAGAAAAAATCCGGCAATCTCTTCCCTACTTCTTTTGTATCTTCTCTGTTGAATAGGCAAGACATTTTTTCAAACCTAAGGGAAGCTGTTTTTCCCAGTGACACACAACGCAATCTTCCTTCCTATTAATAGTCTCTAAAGAGCTGACAACCCAGCTGTTCCTGTCCTCGGAAATAGTTTCATGTATTATATTATTCATTTGTTTTCTTGCCTTCCTCTGCCTGTTTTAACCCCAAATCACTTCTGTTCCTTTTCCAGATAAGTAGAATGACACTGATTTTCTTTTTTCCACTAAAATATGGCTTTAGGGCTGAGCTTGGTGCCCTCATGAGGGCCAAGAACAGATTTATGCTTCTCCTTGGTGTTCTCTGAGACTACAGAATAGAAGATAGGTAAACATGAGTAACCTGGTTTTCACAATATAGGAATTCAGTCATGAGTCTATGCTTGTCTCTGCTTCTTTTCTATTTAATAGAGGTCATCTTTCATCCACACATTTCAGTTTGATGGTCACTTTCTGCACTAACTTTAGAGGGGGGCTCAAACCACAAGCTCATCCCGGATCCCTGCAGTAGCAGATTTTCCCCTCTAACTTGAGACATTAGGAGTGTAAATGTGAACTGATTATTCCAGGTTATTTTCACAGTCACAGGCACCGTTAAATGTAATTTGCCTGACATAATTTAGATGTCTGCAGAGGACAAGATAATCAGTTCCCCAGGGCGTACTCCTCTCCACTGTCGCTGAAGGGAGGGTAGGATGATCATTCAGATGTAGATGTTTACTTTAGGGGTGAGATTCCACACGCTGGCATAGACATCTAATGCAGGCATCTATCTGGATGTGTACGCTGGAAAAGTGACCTCCTGCTGTGTTTAATCGACACTCTAAGCTAATTACCTAAGCTTGCTTTACAGTTATGGGGATGAAATAGGAAGTTCCAGCTTGAAGCTCATCCTTCTTGTATCACGGTGTGAGGCACAGACCTCATCCTGTATCTCTTAATCCACTTCAAAGTTTGGTGAGAGGTGATGATCATTTCAGAGATTGAAAGGTTTAGTCATCAACGTGTAGGTGACTGAATGATGCAGATAAGGGTCAATAACACATCTGGGTCCATAATCATCTTAGAGTTGGCACCTTCAGTTTAGTCAGTTCTTTAGACTCAATTGACTGTATCAGTTAAGAGCTCATTTGCTATTGTATAACTTTATACATTTCAAGGCTCAATTAAGTGCCCAGTAATAGGTGACCTATGCTAATCAAGATGTCTTGGTAATTTCATTCACAGGAGGCTGGCCACAAAGTTAATTTTCTTAATTGGTTTCCTAGGTGTAGTAAAATAACTTCTCAAAGTAGAAAGCAGTTTCTGTGGTGATATTCAAGTTGCAAAAAGGTAATATAAACAATTGGATGAGTGTTGTTGTAACTCATTTCTGTTCTTTCAACAAAAAATATTAGTGCTTGGAAGGGAAGATGATAAGGAGAGCAGACCTGTCACATGGGCCATGGCAGGAGATCTACAGCACTTACCTGGTAATGCAAGCCAGAGCGCTCTGCTGTCAAAAACTGGTGGTAAATTGCTGTGCCTTGCTGTGTTGCTTGTCACATTCAACATAAGAAAATAATAATAATTAATGATAATAAAAATGAATAAAGGAACTTGATGCATTCCTGCTTTTCCTGTTGTACAACACAGTCTTCATAGTATTTCTTCCTAATATTTCATCTTTGTGGAGGTACATATTACACCCACCTCAATCCAGAACCCAAGCCAATGGAGAGGGCTTTCTGGGGACTTCATTAGTTTCAAATCTTCCACCTGACCTCTCATATAAAAATAAGCGAAGGCCCAATGTGTGGCTGCAGGAGCAAGTGTTAGAGACGGTTCCTGTTCATACAGCCATCTCCTCTTTCCCCAGAAAGCCTCCAGTTTCACCCATATTGCCCATTGGAAAATAGTTTCTGGGCTGAGCTTTGCCTAAACTGTGCCTAAGCACGACTTAAAAGAGTGACAGACCAAAGCCATGCCAGCATGCAATTAATGAAACAGTTCAAGTGCCACAAAGACAGCATTCATTCTGTTCCTGACTCCCTTCACTTTACCACATTCACATCACACACGTAGACATGGCCTTCCAACCCATCACTGGCAGGACTGACAGCAAAGATTCACAGTCATCATAGAATCAAAAATGGCTTGGATTGTGAGATAACTTAAAGATCACCTAATTCCAACTCCTTCTTCACAGAATCACAGAATGGCCAGGGTTGGAAGGGACCTCAAGGATCATGAATCTCCAACCCCTCTGCCACACGCAGGGCCACCAACCTCCACATTTAACCTCCCCATTCCTCTTACTCTTCTTGTAAGAGTCTGGGAAGCAAAAGGGTTAAGGTCCCAAACTCTCATAGAGGATTAAAAGGAGGTCAACACAGTAATGATAGGAAGGGGAAGGGGAGGTCTGGTGAAGGCAAGGCATCACTTTTCCAACTGATTTCTATTCTCTTGTGATAATATGAAAACCTGTTAACTACCACAGGCAAACTTAGTGGGAGAAGGAGAGTGTTTGCAAACTATGCCTGAGTGCCAAAGAGGGTCAGGTCAGCTAGAGATCATTTGGGCAGTGGGAGAGCTTCCTGAAGCCCCTGTAATCGCCTGGCCCATTTCCAGAATATTTCAAATCTCAAAATGTGCTTGTGAAGAAGAAGGCCTACATCTTGATAGCAGTGTTAGAGGGTGAGGAAGACTGTTAAGCAAAACAGACCTGGCTGGCCTGAAAGGGTCAAACAGGGAACACGCGGCCCCTCCTGAAAGGGAAGGACTGCCATGTGGAACATGCAGCCCCTCCTGAAAGGGAAGGACTGCCATGTGAAACATACTGCCACGTGAAACATGCAGCCCCTCCTGAAAGGGAAGGTCTGCCATGTGAAACTGGCAAGCATAAGCTACAGCTTCTTCGTTCCGTGACCAAGAGCAGAACGTGTTCTGTGGAAAGAACACCTTTTGATCACTGTACTGACCATAATCCACAAAGAGCTAATTAAGTAATGATGTATTGCTGTCAGCTGCATGAATGTTATCTGATTTAAGTATTGTATACTCCTGTAGCTAAAAGATATAAAAACCCTGTAACAACAATAAACTTTGCTTCTTGCGCCACCAGAGCCTAAGCCCGTCTGTCCCAGGCGTCTTGAGCTGGTCTCCGTCATCTGGTGCCGAAACCCGGGATACTCGGACTCCAATGACAAAGGCGTCGCTTCCTCCCACGAGCCGCGGTTGGTAAGTTGAAATAGGGAGGTGAGGACTAGGGAATTGGACAGATTGTTAAATAAAATGGGACAAGCTGCAAGTACTGAACGAGGCATTTTTTCTGCAATGCTGAAATCATTATTAGTTGCCCGAGGAGTAAAAGTGACTCGGGGTCAGATTAGTCGTTTTTTAGATTTTATAGAGGAAGTATGCCCCTGGTTTCCCAGGGATGGAACTATTAATATTGAAACTTGGAACAAAGTAGGTGAAAGACTCCAGGGCTATTATGCTGTGCATGGTCCTGAGAAGATACCTATTGATACCTTTACACTTTGGACTCTAATAAAAGAATGTCTCAGAGGAGACACTGGGGATGAGAAGTGGCAGCGGACCACTCGCCCAACAGAAAAGTTATATCCTGCCTTGCCGCGATCAAAATCTCTCGATCACATCCCTTCGTCCATGCCATCGGCACCCCCATCCTCCCCTCCCCAATATGAGCAACCTTTGATTTGTAAATTAGCAAACGACTTGCCGCCTTGTAAACCTCCTGGCACTAACATGACAAAGGATATTTTACCCCCTGATGATTGGGGAGAATTAGAAAAAGAGGCTGCTGAATATCACCATAAGGACTTAGCGGCTGTATTCCCAGCGTTACAGGTTGCTAATGCCGCTGTGCAGACACAACAGATAGTCGATCAGGCTCGATCACATCCCCTTGCTGTTTTGCCTGCCTTTCGAGCAGGGCGAATGCCTCCCCCGCCCGGAGTAGATGCTTTGCTTATGCAAAAATCTCCTATGCAATTTGCTTTGAAAGAAGCTAGGAAAGCTGAGGAAACAATAGATGAATTTTCTGGGCAACTTTTTCCGTCTCAAGTTTTCCCTGTCATACAGCATCAACTTGCAAACGGTGGCATTCTGAATGATTATGAGCCTATTCCTTTTAAACAACTGAAAGAGCTTAAAGCTGCTAATATTCTTCCCCCTTCTGACTGGAAAAGCTTGGCAAAGGCTGTGTTAAGTGAAGGTGAAAATTTGCTTTGGACTTCCGAATATGCGGAACGGTTCTTCTTGTGCCCCTTTATTACCAGTTCCTCATATTGGAGTGAACCCCTGAGGATTAATGCCTAATGATTTATGGCAGATGGATATCACACATGTACCTTCTTTTGGAAAATCTTCTTATGTCCATATAACAATTGACACTTTCTCTCACTTTGCAGTAGCCCTCAACCTTGTCTGGTGAAAAACTCTCTCATGTATGCAACCATCTTTTGCATTGTTTTAGCGTTATGGGAACAATGAAATCATTAAAAACCGATAACGGGCCAGCTTATGTAAGTAACGGTTTTGCAACCTTTTGTCGACATTTTAAAATTTACCATAAAACTGGAATTCCATATAATCCAGTAGGCCAAGGCATAGTAGAAAAATTTAATCATTTATTGAAAACTCAACTAAAGAAAATAAAAAGAGGGACATGAGGAAATAAAGATACTCCATCCTCTATGTTATCACATGCATTATTTTTTTTTAAATTTTTTGACACTGGATGATAATGGAAAATTGGCTGCGAATAGATATTGGAGTAATAAAACAAGAGATAAACCAATACAATATTGGAGAAATCCAATGGACGGTAAAATTTATAGTCCTGATCCTGTACTAATTTGGGGCAGAGGATATGCTTGTATCTTCCCTACAGATGAAACCTCACCATGGTGGATACAGGAGAGATATGTCCGACATGCCAAAAACAAAGATGGAAAACTGCGGAGGAAGATGCAGAGACTGACACTAACCCAGATGTGGGAAAGAAAGATGCAAGTGAGAATACGACTCGTGGCCCTAATCCTTAGTACCTTTTGGATCCTACATCATGGCTGTAAAGCAGAAACATATTGGGCATTTGTACCCAATCCTCCTATCATTCATCCAGTAACATGGGATGAACCCGTGGACATTCCGGTTTACAACAATCAAACAATGTTTATGGGGCAATATTCAGATGGACACATAATAGAGTTCTCTGCGCGTTTTAATTATTCTGGAAAAGTTGATGGTATGCCTATATGTTTTCAGATGAATCAAACACAATCCCTGTGTGAGAAAGTGGTAGTGCAAAATGATTGGGATACCAATGTTTCAACAGGAATTCATTGGGCTCTGAATTTTCTCTATATAGATTTAGCTAATGGGACAAGAGGTTCTGGAATGCCTCCCTTAAATTTTCCTTTATGTCAAAGCACAATCACTCCAAAAACAGAATTTGCACCTTTATGGAGAGCATGTCGAGCTAACGAAACAGTGTGCATTAATTCCACTATCTGTGATTGGAATATGATAGGAAATCAAGGGCGACCAATTAATTTGGTCTCAGGAATTTGGACAAAAAACAATCATACGTTCTATTCTAATTTATGGAAAGCAGTCGCAGCTATGGAAAAAATCAAAGCAAAACGATTAAACTTGACTTGGATTCAAATAAATAATAAATGGGCAATGACTGCAGAGAGTTATACAACTGAATTTTATATGCGAGCTTGTGTTCCAGAACCTTATGCCTTTTTAAGCGGACCACTAAATATTGTGAATAACATAGTGAGTTGTACCGATTGTATAATCTCTAATTGTCTTAATAGTAGCAGTAGTTCCTTCTTGTTAGTAAAGCAACCCGATTACGTCTATCTTCCTGTAAATTTGACACATTATTGGTATGCTGATAAGGGAATGGAAATTCTCCAAGAAACTTCTTTGCAATTAATAGAGAGATCTAAGCGAATGGTCGGATTAATAATAGCCGGAATAGCTGCGCTCATTGCTGCCATAGCAGTAACTACAGTAGCTTCTATTTCTTTAACAACTAGTATTCAGACAGCAGCATATGTTAATGAATTATCAATTAATGTATCTAAAGCATTACAAAATCAAGCTACATGGGATGAAAAGATTGAACTGCGTCTCAATTCCTTAAAGGATACAGTAGACATCCTGGGAAGACAGTTACAAATTATAGCTACTCGTGAATCTCTCTTGTGTCACGCAGAATACCGAGCTATCTGTGTGACTCCTGTTGAATACAATAATACTAAGTTCTCTTGGAACAAAATACAAGATCATCTTCAAGGCATATGGAATAATGCGAACACGTCATTAGATCTTAGGGAATTGAGACAGCACATTCACGATATGATACAATCACACCATATAGATCTTTCAGTAGCAACTCAAACTACTACATTTATAAGCGCTCTAAAATCTGCATTTCCGTCCTTCAAATCATTTAGAAAAGGAATTTATGGGCTGACAGTCATTGCAATAATAATAATCATAGGAATTCTTGCTTGTCCGTGCTTGATGAAAATGATAACAAATAGATTCCAAAATTTGCGTATAAATCTTAAAAAATTGGAGATGGAAAACACAAAAAATAAACCACCACCAACTCTGGTCTAATAAAATAAAAAAGGGTGGAATGAGGAAGACTGTTAAGCAAAACAGACCTGGCTGGCCTGAAAGGGTCAAACAGGGAACACGCGGCCCCTCCTGAAAGGGAAGGACTGCCATGTGGAACATGCAGCCCCTCCTGAAAGGGAAGGACTGCCATGTGAAACATACTGCCACGTGAAACATGCAGCCCCTCCTGAAAGGGAAGGTCTGCCATGTGAAACTGGCAAGCATAAGCTACAGCTTCTTCGTTCCGTGACCAAGAGCAGAACGTGTTCTGTGGAAAGAACACCTTTTGATCACTGTACTGACCATAATCCACAAAGAGCTAATTAAGTAATGATGTATTGCTGTCAGCTGCATGAATGTTATCTGATTTAAGTATTGTATACTCCTGTAGCTAAAAGATATAAAAACCCTGTAACAACAATAAACTTTGCTTCTTGCGCCACCAGAGCCTAAGCCCGTCTGTCCCAGGCGTCTTGAGCTGGTCTCCGTCAAGAGGGGACCTGATGACCACCCAAGATCCAGTTTTATTTACAAGCAGAGACTGAACCCCTCACTGATGGGGAGGTGGGAAGCATGAGCACATAAAGGGCAGAACACTTTCACTTTGAGTACACAACCACCAGCAGGGGAACAATCCTGACTACATTACTGGATCTAAAGGTGTTCTCTTTCTCTTTTCAAGTTATATCCAAATGTAACATAAGACATTTCATCATAGCTTACTGACAATAAGGAATAGACATATAAATCTAAGTACTGTTGTAGAGTACAAATAAACATTGAACCAATTCTTTAGTATCCTTTCACCTTAATTTATCCCAAGATTTGGATCCACTGCCTTGGGCTTGTTTCCCCCCACCAGCTCAGGCTGCCAATCCATGGCATTGAGCACCTCCAGGGATGAGGTATCCACAAATCCTTTGGGCAGTAGTGCCAGTGCCTCACCATCATCTGAGCGCAGAATTTTGTCCTAATGAAATGAGACTGAACTAATGCAGATTTATTACTTCAAAGCCTGTGGAGGTGGAGAGAAGAACACGGAGTTCTCTACAGCAAAAGCGTGTGCTGCTTCTATCCAGGCTATTAACTCAGAGAAACTCACCCTAGTGTTTTCATTAGATGATAAGGCTGTGGACATATTCAGAGACATATTTAAACTCTAGGAAGGTTAAATATGGGAGGAACACTGTGATAAGAAAATATAAAGACAATACAGGGGTGTGATGCAAACTCTGCATGGGTACGATATGCTGGACAGTTTCTTAATAGCCAGAGGACAGTGTAAAGAAGTACCATTTGAGATGATGAGTTAGGAATTGATTAGGTATGAAATGCACACTTAGAACAATATCACAGAATGTAAATATAGATTTTATTCAATGATTGATTTTTAGTTAAATGGTTAAATAGTGCAAAAAATATAAATAATAAATATAAGGCTTTAACTCCAATATACATTCAGCCACTATTTCTTGCTGATAAATTCATTGCTGATCCTAGAAAATATGAGATTCTTCCTATTTTCTTTCATTTTTATACCGTGGATATGTACAATTGAGCTAGTTATGGCATAGCTTTATTTGCAATATATGAGGGCTGCTCCAAAAGTCATGCCTCCTATTTTATTATGTTGACCCACAGTGTCAGAGGAGGATGGTGGTGGTACAGCAGTAGAGGTTTAACCTTTCTACCAGTATTCCATTACATTTTATTGACATATAACATAGCAGCAGAGGGGCTTTCTGACGAAATGGTGTCTGTCATGAGAGTGCATAGGAAGCAGATGTGTGGAACTGAATTCCTCCATGCAGAAAAAATGGTACCCACTGACAGTGTCAATGAAAAACACTAGACATCCACCAAGCAGTGGATGTGAGAACAGTGAGGGCTGGGGGTGTGTTTCAGGAAGGGTGACAGTGACATGAAAGACAAGCCACATTCTGGATGGCCATGCAGGTTTGTATGAGTGCAGCATGCAGGCTCTTGTTCATCGCTGATGAAAATGAAGAGCTAATTCTGGTGACTATGTTGAAAAAGAGTGTTTTGTAGCTAAAACTTTGTTCTATCAAATAGTGTTATTGTGCTTTTTATATCTGTTGTAGTTTCCATAGAAATAAATAGTAGGCATTACTTTTGGAGTGACCTATGTATATAAAAAGGAAAAGCAGGCATATTTGTATATATGTAAACATCAGCCCAATTAGATCCTGTGTGCCATTGACAACACTCAACTAACTGAACACAGAAATCTTTCGTGTCTTCTACCTCCAAGAGACTCATTGTTCAGAGCGCTGGCATTTTGGAACAGGAAAAAAAAAAAGAAAAAAATAATAATAACAGGAAGCACAAGGTTTTACAAGAGAAGTGTTGTGTGCTCAAGGGCAAGCATGCTATAAGCTGTGCGTAGGGGGAAATTATTTGACTTAAATTCTGCAAAATGAGTACAAAATACTGTAGTTACAGATTTCTGAGTCATAACCTTCAAATGGGGCAGAATCAAGTCTTATAAGGATCAAACTTTCCTGTAGGTCTTTCAGATGAAGATGTAGTCAACAGAGCATTGATACTTGGCTCAGATGTTTTTTAATGGAGTGCCTAAAATTAATGACTGCAGGAAACTGGGAGGGCTATCAATCTCCAGGATTAAATATAGTATTATTTTGATATCTATGCAAAACATGTCAACACCAATCCATTTGCTTGCACATACATATTTGGCCTAAAGAACTTCTAAATATATATATATATATGTATATGTATTTGTATACATTACATTAATTTTGGAAGAAAACCTCATATTAATTTCCTCGAAAGAGACCTAAGTTCTAAGAAAGCTAAACTAAGGTTTCTGCTCTGTACAACAGAATTCTCTCTCTCCTTTTCCATGGATTATAAGAGTACCTAGGAAGACCATATCCACACGTAACACAGCTGAAGTTCAACACAATGGATGCTCCAAAATGGGCTCCCTACATGCTACCTGGAAGAGCACTTCTAACCTATCACATATTTAAGAAACAACAATCTCTTTGGTTTCTTAGGAGCTGAAGTATTTCCTGTTTCATAA